AGTGGGTGGTGGTGGTGGGATTGGGGTTGGGTGGTGGTTGTGATGTTGGTGATGGCCAGGGAGAGGGGAACGGAGGAGGAGGGAAGGAGGAACAGAAAGAGGAGGAGGAGGAGGTCGGAATTTTGGAGAGAGACGGGGGAGGTGTGCGCATTGTTGACGATGTCAGTGTGGTATGGGAGAGGAGGAGGAGGAGGATGAGGAGAGCGGAGGAGGCGGCGGAGGAGGCAGGAGGGGGAGGAGGAGGAGGGGGAGGAGAACGGGGGAGGTTAGCGGCGGTTGTTGACGATGATGGAGCGGAGGATGAGGACGAGCAGGAGGAGGAGGAGGACGAGCAGGAGGAGGAGGACGACCAGGAGGAGGAGGACGACCAGGAAGAGGAGGAGGAGGAGGAGGGGAGGGGGAGGAGTACCAGGAGGAGGAGGAGGAGGAGGAGGAGGAGGAGGAGGAGGAAGAGGTGGAGGAGGAGGAGGAGGTGATGGCGGAGGGGGTCGGCGAAAAAGGAGGAGGAGGCGGAGGAAAAGGGGGAGGGGGGCCGGAGGAGGATGTGGGAGAGAAGAGTGGGGAAGGTGGCGCGCTGTTGACGATTAACGGAAGGGGGGGAGAGAGGAGGAGGAGGAGGAGGAGGAGGGGAGGAGGAGGCGGAGGCGAGGAGGAGGAGAGGAGGAGGGGGAGGTCGGGGAGGAGGGGAAGGTAGCGGCGGCGTTGGCGATGAGGGAGGGGTGGGAGAGGAGGAGGAGGTGGAGAAGGAGGAGTAGGAGGAGGAGGAACAGGAGGATATGGAGGAGGTGCATGAGGAAGAGGCAGGATGGGGGCAGGATGAAGCGGAGGAAGCAAGGTGCATTGCCCCGAGGGGTTGCGTCGCAGGCTTGTCGAAGCCGCGGAGGCTCGAGGCTCGGGAGGCTCGTGGGAGGCCTCTTTCTTTGGTTCCTCCCTCTCTCCCTCCCTTTGCTCGGTTCCCTCTCCCTCCCTTTGCTCCCCCCCTCTCTCCAGCCAGCCCTTCCTCCTCCGCTTTCTCCCAGCCGGGCGGGCCATGTAAGGTGCGCAACGCAGTGCCACGTGGCATCAAGACAGCTCCTGCTCCTCCTCATCGTCCTCCTCGTTCCCTCATCTCTCCTCTTACTTCTCCTACCAGGTCCGCCTCCTCCGCCTCCTCCTCCTCCTCCTCCTCGTCCTCCTCCTCCTCCTCCTCCCCTCCTCCTCCTCCTCCTCCTCCCCCTCTTTCCTTCTTTTCTCTTCGCTCCTCCCTCCTCCCTCCCCCTCCCTCCTCCTCCTCCTCCCTCCTCCTCCTCCTCCTCCTCCTCCTCCTCCCCCTCCTCCTCCCCCTCCTTCTCCTCCTCCTCCACCTCCACCTCCTCCCCCAGGTCTGGAATTTATGGAATTTGTGGAACTTCTGGAATTTTGAGATCTTTTGGGATTTCTGGAATTTCTGGAATTTCTGGAATTTTTTGGAATGTTTGGGATTTTTGGATTTGCTGAAATTCTGGGATTTTTGGATTTTTTTTTTTTTTTGAATTTCTGGAATGTTTGGATTTTTTGGGATTTCCAGAAATTCCAGAAATTCCAAAAATTCCAGACACTCCACACATTCCAGAATTCCAGAAATTCCAGAAATTCCAGAAATTCCAAACAGCCAGAAATTCCTGAGATTCCAGAAATTCCAGAAATTCCAGGAATTCCAGACACTCCACACATTCCAGAATTCCAGAAATTCCAGAAATTCAAAAAAACAGAAATTCCAAAATTCAAAAAATCATGAAAATCCAGAAATTCCAGAAATTCCTGAGAATAGCGGCCCGCCGGTGGCTCGCACTGGATAAACCTTCCACGGGGGGGAGAAAGGGTGTTGGAACAGGAAGCGTTCTTAACCACTCACGCCCTAAAGGGCTGGTGGGATTCGGCCTTCTGTGGGTTTCCTTGGGTGCCCTCGTCGCAATGGCTGGGTTCCCTCAGGGATGCCAGTCAGTGCGCGCCCCTGGCGAGATCCGAGGGGTGGCTTTTTTGCAGGGTCGCCATGTCTTGTTCGGCGTCTTCGGGTTCGCGGGACTTTTCCCAGGTCCTGGAAACGTGCAGAATCTTTGTTGCGTCGCGGCCCCGCGCGCAGTGACGGCGCGTCCAAAGTCGAAGAAGAGAACCCGCGCGCGCGCGACTAGCGGCCGAGCCCTCAAGCCAAACACGCGCGCACACATAGTATGTTCAGAGGGAAGTCCTGGTCCCAGAGAATCCCCTGGGGTCTGGGACCCTGGTCCACGAGGGCCCCTTCCCACATCCCAGCGGGGGGGGGCAGGGACACAGATCGGATGTCTTGATTTGTTCGTTGCGGGGTCCCCTGGACATCCAAGCCCCTTTCCCAGTCAACCGCGCGCAGAAGGGCGGTGAGGTGAGGGGGGAGGGCCTCTTAGAAGCACCCCTGCTTCTCAGACGGCGCGGGCCTTATCTACAGATGTAAGGCCGGCGCCTTCTAAGAAGCAGCCTCCTTCCAAGAAGCCCCCACCCCTCCCTCCACACCCTTGCGCGCACCGCCAACTGAGGGCGCGGGTTTCGTCTCGAGTCGGTTTTGTGGGCGGCTCTGCAGCCCCGGCGAGGAAGGCCGAAGTCGGCGAGAAACCTGCGGTCGCGTTCCTGCTCCAATTCGCGAGCGGGCCGGGGGAGAGGTCCAGAGCCTCGCGGGCGTTGCGAGGAACATTCGCGACGGCCGCCTTCCTGAGCTTCCGGGGGGCCGCCGGAGACTGGCCAGGGGCCGGGTCGGGAGCTCCGGGGCCAACGTCGCGAGAAGATCACAGCGTCAAGGCCCTCGAGGGTGCGGAAAGGGGGGGGCATTGTTGGCCCCCGTTCTTGGTGTGCTGCTCGCGCCTTCTCCCTCGTCGCAGCCCCTTCGATATCAGGTCCGATCTGCCCGGGGCGGCGATTCCACCAGAACCACAGGCCTGGCACCCGGGGAGTCCATCTCGCGGCTTGCAGGAGGGGGGGAGGAGTGCTGGCCAAGCTTGGTCGGCCCCTCCCCAGCGGCCCCCGAAGTGTGGGGGGGGGGGGATGAACTCCTAAGAGGTCAAATTCTGATTTTGCCCTGGTCCGAAGTCCGGCGTAATCCCGCTTACTCCAGTTTAATTCCGTTTAATCCGATTTGATCCCGCTCAATCCGCGGCCCACTCTGTCGCAACAGCCCCGAAATGGGGCTTAATCCTTTTTTAATCTTTCCGACGAAGACCTCCCAGCAGTTGCTTCCGAAGGGGGGGCGACGCGCGAGCTGCCGCCGAGGGGGCGCCTCCTCTTCGCCTGCTGCCGTGGCTCCCATGCCCTCTCGAAGCCCTGCTGGGGAGCTCTGCGCCGTGCGGCGGCTCGTCCCTTTCCGGGGCCCTCCCTGGGCGCAGCGCTATACAGTCGGTCCGGATTAGTAGGTCGACCCTGCCAAATCAAGGGTACCTTTTTGTCATGTGTCTCGTGACCCGTGCCTCCTGCATTCCTATGGCAATGTGGCCCCTGGAAGGGTCTTTTGTCCTCTCGCGTGTCCTGTCCAATGAAGTCCGACTGTACGGGGCGACGGGCTCAGGCAGGGGGCGCATCGACCTCCAGTCGCCCACTCGTCGCCGCCAGGAGTGGTCCGCCCCAAAATCCTCGGGAGTATTGAGGTCGACGGGGGTCAATGCAAACGGGGATCAGCCAGAGCGCTGGATCTTGCGGGACCCTGCAGGGTCGCACCGACCCGGGCTCGGGCGCAGGATCCTGCAGGATCTTGCAGGGGGCGAACCACATATAGTATAACTATGTTGGGGTGACGCCGAAGGAGGAGGAGGAGGAGGAGGAGGAGGAGGAGGAGGAGGAGGGGGAGGAGGAGGAGGAGGAGGAGGAGCAGGAGGAGGAGGAGGAGGAGGAGGAGGAGGAGGAGGAGGAGGAGGAGGAGGAGGAGAGGAGGATCTTGCGCATTGACCCGGGTTTGGGCGCAGCATCTTGCAGGATTCTGCCGGGAGCATCCCGTTTCGCCATGGGGTGCGCATCGCCGACCCAGCGCGCGAGGCATCGCCGATCCGAGTCGATGTCCCCCCCCCTCCCTCCCCCCCCTGAGCCCATACCCCCCTGTTGCTACTCCAGATTTCGTAATAACAGGGAGGGGGTCTCAACCCTCCCAGACGAGAAGTTTTAGACCCCCCCCCGTGGGAGAACCCTCCAAAACATCGTCCCCAGACCCCCCCCAGGCCCTCCAAGATAGCCTGGAAGAGACCCCCCCGAAATGAGACCCCCCTCCCTCTATTACGAAATCTGGAGCACCCCTCAGGCCTGGAGTGCTGGTCTTCTTGCGGGCGGGGGAGTACTGAGCGCACCCATTCCCTGGATAAGCTTGGACCCCTCGATCACATCCGTCCTACGGGTGTGTGTGTGTGTGTGTTCGCTACTGGCTGAAGCCTCACTGCCTCCGTCATGGGATCGGCCGCGCAGGTGCTTCGCCATGCTATGCCTTGCGGGGCGATACAATGTTATCCACCACTCATGATGCTACTGCGGCCTTTCATGCTAGGCGGTGGTATGCTATGCATTACTATGGTGTACTACATTGTCGCGTGGTACTGCGCAAGTCTGACTTCAGCAGACAGGATACCCCTAATTGGCGTTTCGCAGGGCTCATAATCGAAATGGCCAAGTATGTCCGCAGCCATTTGTGGCACCCATGCTGCCCACTCTCCCTCCTTCGTTCCAGCCGAGTCTCATGGTCTTCATGGCAGGGCAAGTTGTTTCGCAGTGCTAGCTGGTGTGTGAGCTCTGGGAGGCTTGTGGAAAGGCTTTTCTGCTCGTGGGGGACCTTTGGCTCAAGCACAATTAAGCCCGTGCAGCCTGGGTGGGGCGGGAGGCATCCCGTGGGGCCGCGGCATACCACACACATGGCGACCGCCGCCGGAGAGGCCGCAGAGGCCGGCGGAGGTGCGGCCGGTCCGGGCAGCGCCGCGGCGGGCGCGGAGAGCGGCACGGGGGCGGCGGAGGGCGTGGCTACCTCGGCTGGCGACGCGGGCATGCTGTACTTCCTCGACCACAAGGAGCTCGCAGACTGCGCCGTGCGGGTGCCCGCCGGCGCGGCCGCTGCGGAGCAGGAGGTCCCCTGCCACAAGCTGGCGCTGTGTGCGGCGTCGGGCTTCTTCTTCCGCAGCTTCATCGCCGGGGCCGGGGCCGGGGCGGCAGAGGGCGACGCGGGCGGGGCGCCGGCCGCCGGGGCGCTGCAGGTGGTGGCGCTGCCAGCGCTGCCGGAGGACCAGGAGCTGCGGAGGCAGGTCGACGTGTCCCAGTTGTTCCCCGTGGTACTGAGGTACATCTACAGCAACCAGGCGTGGGCTTCGATCGATAGCCTGGTGACCAGTGAGAATGCAATGGGCCTGTTTGCACTGGGCGAGCTGCTCGAGATCCCGACGCTCTCGGCGAGAGCGTTCCAGTTCTTGGACGAGGCCGTGCTCTCCCCAACCTCCGCGGCGCAGCTGTTGTACGCTGCCGTGCAGCTTAGGCGAGTGGCCGGCGGGTCTGCTGGGGCTGGCTTCGAGACTTCGTGCCAGCGGTGCGTCGAGGTCCTCCGCCAGGGCTTCGGGCAGGCGTGCGCGGCGCCCAGCCGCGGGCGGCAGCTGCTCAGCAAGCTGCCCGTGGATGTCCTGGCGCCCATACTGGAGGCCCCAGACCTCAACGTGCCCTCCGAGGGCATCGTGCTGGAGGTTGTGCAGCGCTTCCTGAGAGCTCGCCTTGCGCGCGAGGAGGCTGGCCTAGACTTCGCCGACCTGAGGCTCACCGAGGCCCCTGCGATCATCCCGCAACTAATCGGCAGCCCAGGCGGGGTGGTGTGGGAGGTGTTTATTGTGGAGCAGCCTCTGTCGCCACCCCTAGACCCGCCCGAGACCGCCAAGTACAGCGCGGCGTCGCCAGTTGCTGTCCCCACGCAGCAGCCCGCGGGGGTGTGCACCCTCGGGCATCAACTGTCGCTCCGCTACCCAGTGGGGGCCGTGGGCGCCGCTGGGTGCGCGGGCTGCGCAGTGCTGCGCGTCGTGGGCGCCAGCGGGGAGGTGCTCTGCGCTGGCCTCCTGCCAGTGGAGCGCCTGGCGCAGCTGACCTCGGGCGGCGAGTTCGCAGAGGAGCTCACCTGCCGCGTGCGCTCACCCGCCGACGAGCAGGCCACAGGCGTTGTCCGCTTCAGGTGGCGACGTCCAGCCGAAGCTGCAGCAGTGGAGCCGCCGGCAGAGGGCGTCGAAGCAGCAGCGGAGGCCGTCACGGCCGAAGAGGGCGGCGCTGGGCCCGCAGCCGAGGCCACCGTTCGCGCTGATCAGCTCTCGGAGGAGGACGCTAAGCGTATCCTGGATTGCGTTCGGTTCCCGCACCTCGAGCACAAAGAGCTGCTGGCGGCCATGAGGGATCCTGTGCTTGTCCAGGTGGGGGCCCAGCAGCGGGTGATGGAGGCGCTGTCCTCGCGCCTGAGCCAGTACGAGCACGCCCCGGAGGCGGGCGCCCTGTCTGCGCAGGAGGCCCGGCCCTCGACGATGGCCGCGTCTGCGAGGGGCCCTTCTGCTCCACTGGCAGCCGCCGCGACGCTGCGGCCCACCCCGCCCGCCACCGCCGGCGCAGCCGAGGCCTCCGCCGGCCCCGAGCGGCAGCAGGCGTGGGCGGCGCAGGCGCCCGCCAGCCCCGAACAGCAGCCGCGTGAAGCGCCTGAGCCGTCGCCCCGGGAGCACCTGGCCGGTTCCGCTCACGCTGCGATGCGCGGCGGCCTCCGGGCGACGGCGCGCGGCGGGCTGCAGCGGCCCCTCTCGTCGGGCGGGGGCTCTGCGGGGCACCCGCTGTTCCCGTGCGGCTCGTGCGGCCAGGGGCAGCTGCTGCTGCGCCAGGGGGACACTGCGCAGTGGTGCGCGAAGTGCTCGAGGTGCCCGCATAACGTGTGGCTGCCTGGCTGCGTGACGGCGGCCGCCGTCGACGGCTTCTGTGCCGCCTGCACCGTGCGCCTGGGCTCGGAGGTCCGGACGCTCACAGTGCGGGTGGGCCGCGAGCACGGTGCCGCCCTGCTGAGACTGCCGGGGGGCGTAGACACGCTGCGCGGCATGTGCGTGGCCGGCTGCAGCGACGCCCTTCTGCGGCTGGGCGAGTGA